TTTCAGCATCTAATTTTGATTTATTCAGTTTATACTTAATTTAAGCAAGAATTAGTTAGATTGCCAATTTTGGCAGAGCAGTATGCCTTATTTTGAAGCAGACAGACAATTTTAAGTAACTTTAATGGTTGAGAAATTTTCTTCTTAATGATTTTATTCTCATTATATTCAACCTGAGAAATTAATTTGTAAATGACTGCTTCTCTAAACAGTCAGATATTTTGGTTTGGGGATTTGAATTATCGTCTCAATATGTTGGATGCGGAGGTGAGAAAGCTTGTTGCTCTAAAGTGCTGGGATGAACTAATCAACAATGATCAGGTGAGTATCTCAGTGATCTAGTTTTACCGTAGTATACAAACTTGTTTGAGCCTTCTGAGCCCTTTGGTTTAAGTTTTCTGCTTTTGAACTCATTTTACTGGGTATTCTGACATGGAGTTTTGTGCCTTCAACACCCTATGTTGAATCCAATATTTGCTCTAACTTGCTTGTTACAAGTGTGCTTTATATTTGATCCTTGACAAAAAAGACTTGGCTACCTGTTAGGGAAGAGAAATTAGACTGAATTTTTAAAGCATTGTGTTCAATAAGGCATCGCACTGTGAACCAAAAGTAAATCCAATCATGGAGTTTTTTCAGGGAAAAACTGATGAAGCATCAGGTTTGAGTTTTATGGATACAGTTGGCACAATAATTTTCTCACTATTATATGGTTAACCAAAAAATTCAAGTGTATCATCATTATTTTTCTTTAAGTTCTCTTTGTCGCTAGGTGGCATATCTGTATTGTTCTTTCCTTCTAAATATATACTCTTGATGTGAATGGTTTGAATTCTGTGCCATAGCTTCATAAAGAACTGCGTAGCGGGCATGTATTTGATGGATGGAAAGAGGGGGTAATAGACTTTCCTCCCACCTACAAGTACGAAATGAATTCTGATAGATATGTTGGTGAGATCCCTAAAGAAGGGGAGAAGAGGAGATCTCCGGCATGGTAAGCACAAGTTCTGTAAGTAGCTGGACAAGAAATCTGATATAAAAGTTAGAAAGGGTTTCTGGAAACCCAACATATGCGGAACAATGTCACCGATAATTCATAAAGTTCCACACATTCAATTGCTTATGATGCATATTTTTCCCTTGGTAGGTGTGATCGTATACTCTGGTCAGGGAAAGGCATAAAACAACTTTGTTATCAACGAGCAGAGATAAGACTCTCAGATCATCGACCAGTCAGTTCAATGTTCTTAGTTGAAGTTGAAGTTTTGGACCATCGGAAGTTGCAAAGGGCTCTCAATGTTAACACTGCTGCTGTCCATCCTGAGATTTTCTTTGATAAAAATGGAGAATTAGAACTTTAGCAGAAACCAGGTAATCAACCTTAACAATTAATTACTTGGCAGGCAAACAAGTGTGTTGATAACTGTCCTTTCTGTGCTAGGAATCAGAACAAAGTTGTAGCCAACGTGTTATACATATTTTCTCTTCATTTACGATACTAAAACTAGGCTGTGCTGAGTTTTCAGCCTCGCAAAAATCAGCATTAAGTGTTTATGCGTTCAAATATAGTGTTCATGAATAATTATGGAAGAGGGTTTATCAAGAGTTTGGAGCCTTTGTTGGGTGAATCTTGGTATAGACTTTTTCTGCTTGTAAGGTTGCCAACCTAAATATTAATCAAAAGCATCTGATCTTTTCCATTTTCCCCTGGTTTCCAGATATTGGTGAAGTCATGATATGATGATTGTTAAAATGGTGTTATCCAACATCTATTAATTAAGTATTGGTTTCCTGTTGTCTTATCTTCAAGTTGGTTATCTCCATCTATAACCAATTGGTTTTAGGTTGAACGCTCAACAATGATCACTTTTCATTGAAGTACTCTTTTAATTGCTATCATTTGATATTCTATGAGATACAATAATTTACTCTTTCAGTGACTAGGTAATAGAGAAACAACTTTCTGTTGCTCCCTTATGCTTTATATGTCTAATTACATGCATTATTCCAGAAGCAGGGTACCAAATAACTCAATGAGATGAAAGAAAGGTTTCTTCTTCCGGAAATGGGTTCCAAGATGCCTCGTCAAGATATCAATATCGTAGCAAACAAGAAATATATGCAAGCTTACTCTGAACTCAAGGGTTGATTGATAGCAGGATTAAGTAATTTGTAAAAGTGGGAGTTAGACTATGTAGTGTGCATTTAACAACAGCTTTAAAATTTGACTTTTTGGTGGGGTGAATACATAGAGACTAACATTCTTTTCTTCTTCCGCCCTTAGCTAGATGTCCTCAAAACAGTGATACTTTTGAGTATAGGGTCTATTTCTTGGTCATGCCATAAATCTCCATCTGCATAGTATGATCTAGTTGTTTTAAGTTTCTATTTCTACCATTTTTAGGGGTGAGTTCAAATTATAGAAATTTTACGGTAATTTTGGCTTTAAAGTTTAGACCTTTCATAATGTCTTTGCACGTCAGTCACTCTTATCTCTTTGCTGTTCTCTTTTTTCACTGGTGCAAATTTCGGAAGCATTCAATTTACATGGATTGGATCCTTTGTTAAGGACTGTTTGAGCCAAAATTTAGTTATAATATTAAACTAAATTGGCATTTCAGAAGTTCATTGTAAGATGAAAATGCAAAGGTGTGGCGGCGTGCAAAGATGTGAGAGGTGTGAAGATATATGTGAGTGTTTTGTAAGAAATATTTGTGCATGAGGTGTGTACCAAGAATAATGTATGAGTGAACCATTTGTTATACTGTAGCGAATCGGTATTGAAAAAGGTTAGGAGCTAGACATAACCAGACCATGAATTTATTGATTTAAAAACACAATAACACGAATAGCTAGAATATATGAGTTGAAATTTTGGTTTTGGTTTCGAAATTAGATCATTCAGACTGTAGTAGAGGCAAGATTAGGAGCAACCACCTTGATTTCTAAGACAGAAACTAAAGACAGAATGGTTAGGTTGGGCTAGTCGTATCCACTTTGATTAATAGCTCGAAGGAATTCTTTAAGATAAGTTGGCCCGAAAAACATGGAAAAGACATTATCACTGTCAAAATGTGAGCCAATATAGGTTGATATGTTACCGCAACATTCCTATCCCATGCAATATATAACCTGAGCCAGCTTAATTTTTTCATGCAGTATTTTCTCATTTGCTTCAGTAGAGATTATTAGAGCATTCTTTGTACTACTGGTTTTGGTTTAAAATGCGGTTAAAACATTGAGTGACGATGGACTTCTGATTCTTGATTACTACAAAGAAACATGTCCCTCAGCAGAAGAGATTGTAAGCAGAAAATGTTGAGATTGCTGTGCTCAAAGGTCCTCTAATGGCTGCCTCGGTCCTTTGCTTGCAGTTTCATGATTGCTTTCTCATGTTAGATTTCTTTTCTCTGCATCTCTGGCTCATTGTTATCATTTCATCCATTCATCAAGCTAATCGTTATTCATTTCTTTCTTCGTTTATTTGATTGATGTCATTTGGGGTCAGGGATGTGATCGTGATGCATCAGTTCTTTGGACAAATTTGGAGATATTATTAGTGAAAAGCAAGCTGTATCTGACCTGAACTCTTTACGTGGATTCGAGGTCGTTGATGAGACTAAGCACATTTTGGAAGAGACTGGTCCCCTAACTGTCTCCTGGTGCTGATATTCTAGCCATGGCTGCTCGCGATGCTGTCGCATTGGTATATAAAACTCTTACTCGATTCCTTATCAATCCATTTGCTGGTTTTTGGCATTTTTTGTTGAAAAAGACTTGTCCTAGAAATGCTACTGTTTGGTATCATGGAGGAAACGAAGTACTTCGTCACACATGCTGACTAAGAAACTGAAAGGAATTCATCAAAGCCGAAGAGAAGTGCAGGAATTGAAGGAATTGAAGGAAAGGGAGGAAGAAACAAACATAGAAATAGAAACTATTTCCAAAGGGGGGGAGGAACAGGTATCCACCAAAGAAAATCTTTCTTATTACCCTTTTTCGAAAGAGACCGACTATAAAAATAGCCCAGTTTATGAAACTTCTTATCTGGATGGGAATCAGGAAAATTCGAAGTTAGAAATAATATCAGAAAAAAAAGAATATAAAAAATTATTCTGGTTTGAAAAACCTCTTGTGACGCTTATTTTTTATTATAAACAACGGAATCGACCTTTGCGATATATAAAAAATAAGCGGGGACAGCTTTTACTTTCTAAACAGTTCCCTGATTTCCTTTTCTTATCACCATAGCATTGAATTCTCAATGCCTGCATAAATCTTCACAAGTTACAGGAAGAAGCCTAACATTTTGCATTAGAGTTCAGGAGTTAAATCATTACAACAGAATTAACTCCCATTACTTAAAAACAAAAATTTTGGCCTTAAAATTAAAAAAAAAATAAACCCATTAAAATAAAGTGAACAATTGTATGCCTAATCTAAAGTATGAGATGCGATGCAACCATGATAATACCATTTTGGTAATAGAATACTCTTTTTCTCATTAGAGAGGAGGCCCAAAATGGAAAGTCTGGTTAAGGAGAAAAGACTCCCTGAAAGCAAGTTTTGATGGTGCAAACCAGTTCATTCCTGCTCCAAATTCCTCCCTGGAGAGTCTCATCGCCAACTTCAACTAACAAGGTCTTGACATAGAAGACTTCGTTACTTTGTCAGGTCACATTCTCATCCATATGTATACTCTTCCTTAAAACTATAAAGACCTTCCTTGAGCTAAACTCTATTTTTCTGAATAAATTTCAATTTTGGCTGCCTCTTCCTGTGTGTAATAAGTGAATATTCTAATTCTCTACCTATCAATTAAATTAGATTTGTGAAATGAAGATAACGTATTAACGAATCTATAATTTAACTTAATTGATTCATATAATCATATTTAAAAAATTACGTGTATCAAATCTAAAGTAAAATTTCACTATTCCATAATATCTTCTCCTATTCCGAAGTTACTGTAGCCTCTTTTATAAAAATAATAATAATAACGGATTAGCATTTTCAAATGCTTGTCAACATCTAGCCATACACTTGGAAAGGCAAGATGTTTGAGTTTCAGAAAATGGGTCTACAACATGAACACAGAAGAAAAGTATGACAAGTACAAAAGCTATAAGACTTTTCGAAGAATCCTACGGTCCACATGCCCGAATTCTGGAAGGGATAATGCAATTGCGTCGCTTGGTGTTTCAACTCCTGCAAGTTTGATAATCATTATACATTAACATTCTTGAAGGAAAAGATTTATTGGTATCAGATAATGTATTGGTAACAGAAGACCATGAAGGGGAGATAATAAAGCTGGTGTGGGCTTTTGCCTCTAATCAAGAGCTTTTCTTTACTTCATTTGCGAATTCAGTTGTTAAGACGGGCAATATAAATGTACTCACTAGAAATGAAATAGAAATTAGAAAGAATTGTGGATTTGTCAACCCATAGATTCTGCCATTTATACTCAGTATACTCTAATTATTAAGATTGTATCCCTTTCGGGCACATGTTATATATACAATCTTTTTTGTTCCTGGTGGTTTTATAATTGTAATTTTTGAGAAGATTCAATTTAATTTGTATCAAGCCTTTGAAAATCTCAGACATATCTCAACCACCGATGGATAATTAGTTGATTTTTTTCACTTCATGTCGATGGTTACTTACGTCCAGGGTAAGAATTAATACAAGTTACATTAGTTACCAGGGTTCCAGGCTGGTTATCATCTCGGACGAGATCGGTCAAGAACAAGGAAACCTTCAAGACAATTTATTTGACCGTGTCAACCGAGAGTTTATGGTCCGTAATTTGTGGTAAGTCCCTTGTAATTCCAACCAGTCTCCGATCCTACGGTCAGTTCTTTTTGCATAAACAGTTTTCTTGCTTTTCTATGCCAAAATGCTTTTTCCAGGAAATGCTTTGATGGGCCTCTCTCAGTACAGTGATGATTTTAAACGGACTTGAATCACGCGAACCGTTCTCAGGAAATGTTTTGCTGGACCGTTCTCAGTACAATAAGAATATTATATTCTTGTTCCTAGTGAAACTTAAGATTTCCAAAGATTTGATTCTAAGCTAAAGATAAAGTTAGGTGTAACTGACAATAATGACATTTTGGTTTTCTCTGACATGAACAGATATCAGACTTTAGTGAGATTGAGAACTTGACAGCCTTACAGAAATGGAAACAAAGGTGCTTCACAAAGAGGGATTTGGTGGTTCTTTACCTGTTGAGAATGTCCAAGCTCTTGCATCCAAGAACCTGAAAGATATCCCATCCAGGTACATCAGGCCAGAGGTTGAGTTCGATCTAGTTTCTATAGATGAATCCCTTATGATTCCTGTAATTGACATGAGCAAATTAGATCATGATGATGAACAGAAAAAACTCCATTCGGCTTGCAAAGACTGGGGCTTCTTCCAGGTACGTAACCTAAACAGAATTCTCAATTACTTGCAACTTTTTACAACGATCGACTTAGTAGTATTTTATTGATGGTGAAACAGTTAATCAATCATGGGGTAGGAGATGACGTGATTGAGAAAGTGAAGATTGACACACAGGAGTTCTTTAAGTTGCCATTGGAGGAGAAGATGGCTTGTGCTCAGATACCAAAAAACCTTGAAGGCTATGGCCAAGCCTTCGTAGTGTCAGAAGACCAGATGCTTGATTGGGGTGACATGCTTTTCCTTCATTCCCTGCCGGTGCCCCTAAGAAAGATGAGATTCTGGCCGATCACTCCCCCTTCATTCAGGTGAATACTGCCGCTAAGAACATATTGTTCTGAAACACACAAGCCAGCAATTCATCCAAATCAAATACAAATCTTATTTGAATTAAGCCTCTTACTAATCCTTCAACTTCATGATCATAATAGCGTATAGCATTAATTGTTTCTACCTTTGCGGTTTTCGGAGCTACCATGGATAAGTACTCAATGGAGTTACAAAAGGTTACAATTCATCTCCTGAGCCTGATGGCGAAGAACCTGGGGATTGATCCTGAAACGCTAACAAGCATTTTTGAAGATGGAACACAAGGAATAAGAATGAACTATTATCCACCCTGTACACAGGCAAGCAAGGTTTTTGGTTTAGCACCACACTCTGATGCTACAGGCTTAACGCATTTGATTCAGGTGAATGAAGTTGAAGGATTACAAATCAAGAAAAATGGCATATGGGTGCCTGTTAAACCCATCCCTGGCGCATTTGTCATCAATGTTGGAGACATGATTGAGGTAAGAATAATATAATAACACTAATATATTTGAAGCTACATAGACCTAGACTTGGATTTCATACGTATAATTTGCCTAAGCAGAGAGATCTTATAATTGCAGATTATGAGCAACGGAGAATATAAAAGCATAGAGCATAGAGCTGTTGTTAATCCACACAAAAAGCGCCTGTCAATTGCGGCATTTCACAATCCAAACATGAGTACCAAGATTGGTCCTTTGCCGGATCTTGTTAAGGCAAATGAAGTACAGTATAGGAGTATACCACTTGATGAGTTATTGAGACTGACAATAAGCAGCAAACTTGATGGGAAGCGTCTGTTGAATCAAATGAAGCTCTAATTCAAAATCTTGGTTAACTTTATAAAGCTCTTCGTCTATGTTAAACACTTCTAATTCCAAAAATGTTTTATCCCCCTGCCTGGTGTTTGAAATGCCAAAAACAGTATTATTGGATCAAAAAATTCAATCATTTCAACCGAGTCAGCAAATTTGACTTGGCCCAAGGCAAATTTATCATTTCAGTACTCTTATGTTTTCTCAAACCATCCACCACTCACCAAAATAGAACATCAAACTTAATTAGGTGTAATTCTCAAAAAGTTGCATACTTGCAAGGTGAGAATTATTCTGAAAAAAAGTCAATAACACTTGTGCAAATAAATCTAAGAAATATTTCACAAACATGCACCACATATTACAAACGAAGCAGAAAAGTCTCGAGTTCCTAGACAAGGTGGCTGATAACCGAAAACACCATCTGATGAAATCAGAAATTGCCTTGAAGAAGGCATGAGAACATGAAGCATATGAGAGGTTATCTAGAAATATTATACTTAACCGTGAAAAACAGGAAATGATGAAGAGATGGCATTAACAAAAAAAAGTAAAGGAAAACAAACTTTCAATACATTGTTAGCCATTACCAGTAACCCATAGGAGAATCCTAGTACTCAAGTGAAATTTGACAATCTCAGGTGAGCAACAAACTTGCTAGATTCCATCTGTTTAAAGCCCCATTTGGTACAACTGGATACATCAGTGGAGAACCCTCCCACCCCACCGCCAGCCCTACTATACCAAAACAGTTTAAAGAGTTGTTTGTAAGAATGAATCCAATATTGTTTAAGAGAGCTAATACAACAAGAAGTGCACTGACACCTCTAAACAGCACTGGATCCATGCTGCCAAACAAGCTCCCAAACACCACGGCCCACTCACAACACTAAGTGCCTCCAAAGAATTCTATTTTGACTTTTCTATTAAAATTTTTTCATTTTGATTTTTGATATTTAAAATACAATGTGAATTAATCAAGAAACCTTTTTATTTTCCTAGCCAAGTAATAAAAAAAAGTCATAAAATTTATAAAATTTTGATTCAAAAATAAAATTCATAATGAAAATTTTTATCATAAAAAATAAAAATAGAAATTATGTATTGGACTTTATAGGTGCTAACAAATGTCATAGCAAAACATTCAAAGCTTTGATAGTCTTTAATTACACATTTCCATGCACACCTTATACACACCCTAAACATGACAAAAATGACAAGATCATGACATGACACTAAGGTAGACATGAAATGTGCATGAAAATGTGCAAATAATAAGATCTTATTATTTACCCACTCTCATGCACACCTCATAGGTATGATAATGGACAAATGTATCATGTTCTTTTTGATGTCATACCTAGAGTGGACATGAAGTGTGCATGAAAAGTACAAATAATGAGATCCTATCTAAAAATAGTAAAGGTTAAAATTGACTTAAGTCTTAAAAAAAAAAAATCAAACAGGAACCAAAAGAATAAGATGCAAAGACAACTATCAAAATCCATTAGTCCAACTCTACAAGCTAAAAATAAAGCACATTGTTAGTTAGACTGTTATTTTCATGCACCAAATGATTCTTAAGGCATTGTAACCCTTTTCTAAAAATGATGTAGCCATCATGTTTACGAGTCACAAGCTAAACCATTTAAAACAAGAGTCACAAGCTAAACCATTGAAAACAAGAGCATAAGACTATAATAATAACTAAATGAGAGGACCTTCATTCAAAATTTAGCATGGCCTAAATATCTCCTTTTATAATAAAACTTAAGTCTTAATTACTTAATACTTAGAACATGCTAAACTTTAAATGAAATTCCTAGCATCAGCTATTAAAAAACTAAAAAAATTCTAATTTCTTCAAATAACCAGAAGACACAGGCAATGCAATGATGCTTTGATATCTTTGCCTCATTATGCTTGTTTATTTTGTACTCTATTGAATCAAAATTACACAACCCTACACACAATGTTAAAACTTATGGTAATGCAACCCTGAATAATTAACAACTCAAACTTAAGATTCATAATATGAACTCCGCATGGTAACCTAATGAGCAAACTGAAAACAATTCAATTAGAAATCACCAAAACATCTATAATCCTTAAAAGAAAAGCATTCAATATACCATAAAATGCTTAATTAAAAACATCAATGCAAAAAAGGGCATCAAGTATGCAAGGTGATAACATCAGCAAAAGATTATCAGACGCAAATTACCCATTAAATATAGGAATTCATCAACTGCCCAGAAACATTGACAAAAGTAGTTGAATTGAAATAACGAATTAAAGAAAAAACAATACATTGAATGACTTAGCACACAAAGAAAAAGGTTCTTTATCAATAGCAAATGCAGTTCAAACGTTTCTTTGAAAATGACGGAATCAAAACCAAATCGTAGCTCAACCCCAGATGCCTTTACCGCTATGCTATTATAGTGACTAAAGTATGATTAGCAGGCACAGCCATCAGAACTTTAGTGATAAAGGAATCCAAAGAACTAAGCATAAGATCTGGTTTTAATTGCTAAACAAAATAATGTTTCCAAATACACTGAAAGAAGTGGGGCATCAGGTCTCCAAGGTGATTTAGCATCAAAGAAATACTAATTCAGACGCAAATTACCCATTAAAAATGAGATTCATCACATGCCCAGAACAGAACTCAGTAAAACAAATCAAAACCCTAAAATTCTAAACTAAAAAATCCAGAAAAAAAAAGGAATAAAAAGCGATCAGAACCTGTCGGAACTTCAATGTAACATCAAATTATTAGATCAGTGGATTGACAGACCATTGAATTTCAATCATCACATCGCTTTTACTTCGTTCTCACCTTTTAGTAAAAAAAAATCACAGAAATCCCATTTTTACAACTTCAAAAATTTTAAAACAAAATTGGGAAAAGGGTAAGCTCAGAACTTCTTAGAGGGATTGTGTTACCGTCACCGGAGACTCCTCTGGTACACAGAATCATGTTCATCACCGCAATTATTTTTCCGACAGAAAAAGAACATATATTCAGACAGACGGCGGTGTATCGAATATGAGGAGTGGCTAAAGCGGAGAAGCGAAAAGAGTATTTATAGATGCAGAGAGAAACCCTAATATCCGCTTAAAAATGTGCGGCGCGACAACGAATTTCAAATATTCAATAAAAATTAAAAAGAAAAGGGTAAGATTAGGTTACGGCTTTTAGGGTTTATAAAAATAAAATCCGGAATCCTAATCGAAATATAATAATTATATGAATATTTGGAATTTATTGCCTTTTAAAAAAAAAAAAAAAAACCTTTTTGTGATGCTCCTTGAATTTTCATTTTTTTGTATATGATTAATCCATAAGTATAAAAGTTAATTAAGTGTTTATTTTAATAAATTAATAATAAAACTTTTAATTTTAAAAACGAATTTAAAAGACTTACATATAATTTATTTTATACATATTTATTATATTCTAAAAGTACATTCCACTCGAAATTTAAAATTTTTGATGTAATATTTTTTAAAATATTTTCTCATTCCCAAAAAATAAAGGAAACCAAATTTTACAAACAATTCAGTCGGGAAGATGCTACATTCAACGAGACTATACATTATTGTTATGCTGTTCGAAAGTATGGAGACATGTAGACCCGAAGAGGAAACTTTAGATAAAAGCCTTCATATTTGTCCAAATTGCAATTGGAAAAGGTTAGATATAATAATCTTGGATGTTTATCAGATTTTTCTATCCCAAATTTTTTTAACAAAAATAGCATTCTGTAGAAAAGTACTACCAGACACACATTTACATGCAGTTTGGAACCAGCCAGATTGCAATGAAAGAGCTTCCATGTCCCAAGAACAGTCAGGTTTTGGGACAGGGATTCAGGTTGTGTTGATGTTTTAATAGAGAAAATTCAACTGATGCAAGATAGTTGGGACAAAAAAAAGATGTCCACTTAATGAAGGATAAAAAAGAAAGGTAATTTACCCAAAAGTAAAAAAATAAAACTAAGAAAAAGCTAAATTATGCAGATGCAGAAAGCAAGGAGCAATGAGAAATATGAGATCCATTGGTTGATTCTCCATCCCCCTTGGCCTAAGCGAGACTTCAATCTAAAGACCTATGCCTATCTGATCGATATTAGCTTTTTACCACAGTTGCCAAGGCATTGGGTTGCACATGCAAAATTTTGAAGGAGAAAACACCTTTGGGATTTCCTATCTGATTTCACTGAAAAATACTACTCACGGAACAGTCATCATGAACACGCCAAATGGTTTCACCCAACAGGTTCGCCACAGAAAGAACTGTCAACTGAGGGAAGTAGTTCTTCTCTGCCACTGGAAGTGTATTTGTAATGATTACTTCTTGAAAAAGACCACCTGATAACCTCTCTATTGCAGGAGGACTGCCAAGAAATAACAATCATAGGAAATGAGGTCGAAATATACGATACTATATATGAGCTTTTACCTAATTCAGCCAAAAGTAAGTTGAAACCTGAAAACGGCATGAGTACAGCATGCATAAACTTCCCTCGCCCCCTCTTGGTGTAAAAGTGCCGCCCCCTTGGCAATTGTTCCTAGAGGACACCGTAAATTCATTAGTAAACATAAACTGAATCTAAAACAAAGCCAATGGTTAGACAATTTTTCAAGGCATCAAAGGAAAAGCACGATGAAAATATCTTTTTCAAAAACGTAAGAAAATGATTTACCAAAGATAATGAGAACATAACATTTCTGAAACAAGATATAACCCACAAAAGTTTCTTGCCACCATTTAATGGTCAAATACATCAGGATAAGCAAAAATAATGTGCATTTCTGATTAAGAAGAGGTTTATGTTTGCCGTCTTCACATTGCTTTCACTCACCGGCAGTGTCGATCATATCATCCACCATAACAGCAACTTTTCCTTTCACATCACCAATAAGGTTCATTACCTGCAAAATAAAAATTAGGCATGGACTTCGTGACGTTAATAATGTACGAATGTAGACCTAAAGCCAGAAACATAACACAAGCTAAGCATTTAAAAGATTTATTGGCTGCTAACAACAGCCTGGCCAAGTCTGAAACCTCTTGATATCAATTTTAACTTCAGCAATTCTTGAAACACTACCAGTAGACCAAAATGTCAACACAAAATGGGAAAAAGTGCAACATTTTTCTAACTAATTGTCCCTAATACGGCTGCCAAATGTACCACCACATCCCTAGAAAATAACATACTGTTTTAACCTCTAATAACATCACAATTTGAGAATCCTGACTTGACAGGGGTTATTCATCAGCCAAAGAGGGAGAAGATTCCTATTTACTTAAAATAATTTTATACTAGCGCAAGAAGGTCCTTTGTTACGCCGACGTAATTGGAGAAGTTTGAGTTGCTTTACTTTCAATTGCTAATGCCTATCGCCTTTCTTGCTTATTGATTAGAGCTAGTGATGAAAAAAAGGTATGTGCGTAAGGCTTATTTCCCAAACTTTCAAATGCGCAAGTAGGAAAGGGAGAAAGCTTAATTCAATGAGAGAGAATGCTAAGGCCAGTTCTATCTCAACAACCTTGGAATAACAGTAAACATAATAGCACAATCAACGTGGAATAAAGATAATGACAGCAGAGTGTGTAGAAAGCATTACCTCCGCAACATTGTGTCCATGACGCCTTTTATCCACAATGGCTAAAGGTGCATCTGATAATTTTTTTGCAAAAGCACGTGCTCTTGCTACTCCACCAACATCAGGTGAAACCACTACTAAGTCATCAGAACAAATTCTCTTGCTGGCAAGATAATCAAGAATCACAGGCTACAGTCCACAAAAAATTTAAAAAGAAAAAAAAAGATAGAAGAATCAGTAATCACTTAGTCATTGACAGTCATAAGTTATTAGTTTCAAGTTTGATGACTGATACCTGACAGTACACATGGTCCACTGGAATATCAAAGTAACCCATGGACTGCCCAGAATGAAGGTCACAAGCAAGAACACGGTTTGCACCAGCTTCTGTGATAAGATTTGCAACAAGTTTGGCTGCAATGGATTCACGCCCTTGAGTCTGAAAATAAGATAATAGACATGGCGAAGGTAGTTTAGTATCCTATAAGGAATACAATAGATTCAAAAGCTTCAGAAGTCCATGCCTTAATGAAATAAAAACTGCAAGAAGCAAAGGCATTGATGATTATTATATTATAACTCTAACATAATATGGCACAATTCTGTTAATGATTACTATATTAAGAATATTAAGAATAACACAAATGTCACCAGACACAACTCTGTTAATGATTATAATATTAAGAATAACACAAATGTCACCAGATTATGTTACTTCTGGTGGTCGGATTTTAATCCATTCAATTTGCAGCTGATGTCTCCATACATAGTCATATTTTCATCCACAATAATTTATTGCCAAATACACAGCATTTGAACTTGCCTTTCTATCAGCTCTGGCATAACCAAAATATGGAATCACTGCAGTGATGTTTTTGGCTGACGCTCTCCGACAAGCATCAACCATTATGAGAAGCTCCATGAGATTCTCATTTGCAGGAGGGCATGTTGGTTGGACTAAATATACGTCACATCCTCTAACACTCTCTTGCAGCTGAACATAAATTTCCCCATCAGCAAATCGCTTTATGTTGATCTTTCCCAGCTCCAGGCCCATGCACCAAGCAATTTCCTGTGATAAAGAACAGAGCGAGCAAACACAAGTTCCACGAAATAAGGAACCATAACTGCTCAAGTTCAGAGACTAAGAGTAACCATGAGGCTTAAACCAAGAAAGGCACGCGAAGCTTGATAAGCTACAACATTTTCTAAAAAGAATTGGAAAATGGACTATTAATATCAATATAGATCAGTCTTCGTGGTACAAATTGTCGGAATGCCACTCAAGCAGGCATAATATATGCAACATATTGTCTGGCCCAAAATACAAGGGATCATAAGAGATGATGGGCAAAACTTTATCCATTCGAGCAATATTTTCTTTATTCCAGGAAAGTTATCGCTTTGGTTCAAATGATATTTTTGCGGATGAAATTATATTAAATAGTCAAAAAGTAAATCTTTTGTTCAGAATTGAGGTAGTTTCCTTTCACATTTTCAGTCTATCACCCAACAGCTGCACTAGGAACAGTCCATTAAGGTCTACATCTAATTAATCTTATCATTTCTATATGCTTATAGAAAGTAAAACCTGTAAAAAGAATTCTATGGAAAGCAATACGGTAAAAAATGGTAAATGCAACAACCTGAGAAAGTGCAGGATTGGCGGTGCCAGAAAACACCTTGAGCTTGGCACCATTTCTGTTAACAGTTGTCTCCATTCTAGCCGATTCCAAGAACTTGGGCAGTGTCCTTTCATTAAGGATTGGAATCGTTGGCTTCACATTTCCATAATTCACTGGTTGAGGCTGGTCACATTTCTAGTATTCAAAGAAAAAAAAAAAAAGCAAGCACCCATATCAGTACACCTTTAACATCACTAAAAAAAAAAAAAACACAAAAACAGAACTGTTTCTTTTTCAGTTACCCAAAATTTTGCATTTAGTTGAAAGAATATTCTTTTACCGGAAAATTCTTGTGGACGAATCAAAAGGAAGCCAAAAATTTCAAAGACAACAGAAATTAAATAAAAAAAATGTTGCACTGTCGATTTCATTATATACCCACACGTGCAGCGCAGTACAGAAAAATAATACTAATAAATATAAAAATCTTCAATTTCAAAAGAAATCAACACCAAATCATAAAATAAGAAAAAGAAGGACAACCATCGAAAAAATCCAAAAGAAAAAATTTTCACTTCAGAAAATTTTTAAAAAAATGTAATCTTTTAAAAAATAAATATAGCTTACCAAACTGTTCGGATCGCAGGTACGAGAACGAAACTCATTGAAAGCGAAGCTTTTGTGGCTAAGAGAGCAACGAGTGAAGAGAGAAGGTGAAGAGGACGACAAAAACGACGAAGATTTAGACGGCGAAGGAATCGTCAACGCAGCCATTTTTTCTTTTCGTTTAATACGCAATTAGGGTTGAGTTTTGGGCGGTTTAGAACTTAAAGCGGCGGCGAATGAGCGGTTGCTAGGGGTGAAGGTGCGGTGGCATTACTTTATGGATGGCCGAGTTTGTGTTGTGGCTTTCCTCTTCTTTTTCTGTTGCTCCACTCCACATTTGGATTCCCACGCAACGCATTTTCATTATAAATACCTTTTTATCAGATTATATGGTAAGTTGGCGCATATATGGTCATATTTACACGACGTCGTTCCGAATTTAGTCTCATCACATGTAAAATGAACCTAGACATTTGATTTTTCCTTACCTTACCTAAATGACTTAGGAATGTTCGATAGAATTGATTAATTTCGAATATGATTATTTAAAATTAAATTAAATAATTAAAATTATTTTATTTTTATTATTGAATTAAATCTTTTAATTTTGAAAATTAATCAATAAAAACTAATTCAATTGATTTAGTTAATTTTTTTAATCAAATAATAAAATATATTAGATTAAATTATATTTTAAATTTTTATTTTTTATAGGTGAAATAAATTAAATAAAATCATCTAATAAAAATATTTAAATTTGAAAATATTATATTAAAAACTCTAATAATTTAAAATGAAAGAGATAATTTTATATGTTTTTAGATTTATATATAGATTTTATAATATTTAAGTTAAAATTTTGATTGATTAGATTTAAAAATTAAATTTTTAAAAATTATTTTAAATAATCAACTGAAATTAATTTGATATCAATCAATTAATCGAATTAAATCTATTCGATTAATTAATTCGGTAAAATTGAATTATGAATTCCCTTAAAAGGATTATCTTTTCTAAAATTTTATTTATAAAAAATAAAATAGACAAAAAGAGATTAACAAAAGAAAAAAAAAAGGAATTTGTTTATTTATTGAGACAAAAATTAAACTTTAGTTATTAAATTTTAATATTTTAACTGTTCATCCTTATAAATTATAATCAAATAATCAATCCATTCAAGTTGTGTAATTAATATTTTTTTTAACGAAAAAAATTGAAAGTGATTATTAACTACTATTTTGTTTTTTCTAATAAATGTCGAACCTTTTAAAATCGTGATTAAGATTTAATTTGGTTATTAAATGAATTCGAGTTAAATAGATATTCATTAACATGTTTTTGTTTTAATATTTGTCTCAAATGTTTTTAGTTTAATATAATGCATAATTATTATTTTAATTATGATATTTATTTCTTAATTAATTGATTTATTAATTATAAAATTGAAAACAAAATTGATGAAATATGTTGCACGACTCTTTTACAAGTATATATAGCAAGTAGTTTGGATTTTGAAATAAAATCGAATGAGTAAAAATGTCAAGGGCTTCAAGATTCCAAAGACGTGGGTTTTGGGAGTCAAAAAAGTAAGCCATGTTTCACAACCTTTCGGAAAAAAATGGCCGTCCACTCTTTTATCGGGCTTCTGCCACGTACTAAAAGTGAAGTCCAGGACGGTTGGATACAACTTTGATTCTTCTTCCTTCCTCTAGTCTATTCAATTGTTAGCCTATGATTCTCATTTCTGTGGACCAGAAATTTCCAGTCCAAAAATTCTGCTTTGGTTTGATTAAGACAGGATAGAGTGATGTCTAGCTCGTGAAATATATTAATTCAAAATCGATTCGAGGTAACGCGTAATTCTATATAAATTATAACACACATATGAATTTTTTGACATAAAAAGTCAGACCAATACAAGACATGAATTTCACACTCATTAGCCCCAACCACATTATAATTGCATGTATCTTAAGCTGTCAAATAGTCACATTAAATTTCTAAAACCATATACGAGAGACGTCCGGGAGATAAAAAAAAATAATTGCAAGAGTTAAAAATTAAATCCCAAATTGGTGGAAAATTCACGTCTTAAGGAAGACGAGTGAACTACTTAAGTAAAATCCCATTTAACTGTCTTGGTTCAATGCATGAATGATAATAAGTTGATAGCCGGCTTGGACGGCCATCAATGACCTCGTTTTTCAAAAGAAGAGGGGAAGAAATAACCGGAAAGAATGATGAGACACTTCATTTCCCCTAAAAATATGTAGCCATCCTTACAAGGTAGAAACAGAAACGTGTTTCCAATGCTCTGGAGAAAGCAATATAGCAATCATTCTGTACCATATGCAATGTATACAGACAGCAACATGAGGAATATTATGACATTTGATGTACATGGAACATATCCTCTAGTCATGTTATTGTATTTAATGTATCTGGAAACTGCTCTGAATCGGTTGACAAAAGTTACAACTTAAAATCTTCTTCAGCTATGATCAAGAAGGTTTGACATGACTAACGAAACTAATGGCTGAGACACAAGTAGCATGGCTAGAAACATAGGTACTTAGGGGGTTGAACCATCGTCGGCATCTTGACTTGCTTGCTGAGATTCCTGGGATCGAATTCAAAAAAGGAATATCAACTCAAAGCTCCAGCTTTTAATGCATTTCACATGTAATTACTAATTATTGGTTGAATACAAACAGGTCTAACTGACATGAGGATCCAACCTAGAGTGGGATTTGATTTTTTTTTTTTCAGCGGCTTCATAATGAGTACATGTTATGTAAACATGTGTATATAGGTGCATACGTGCAAACATTGGAGAGAAAGGGAGAGAGAGAGGCCATACCCCTTGTGAGAGATGTGCTTGCGACAGAGAAGAAAGCTGGCAGCTTTCCATATTTTCAAGTAACTGAATTACAGTTTTCAGATGCGGAGCGCTGCAATTTGTGAAATAAAATGAGCCAAGAACAATGGAAACATTCCTACAGCTTATTAACAATAGGCAACAAAGGGAATTCTCGGCTTTTTGCACAAGTTCTTTAATTTACTGACTGTCCTATACACATATTTAATAACAATAGTCAATTGAGAGAAATGGATCCATCTAGCAAATTAAGCAAATGACAACTTCATCGAGTGGTATTAACTGCTGTCTATCCAATATTTAGTTTTTAGTTACCGTTTCATCAAGCATCTACTATACATTTTTCATGCAATTTTATGTCATGTCTAAAAATTCTGATCAATTCCCTGACCTCTAAAATCCAACTGCTACACAACTTAACACGTTTCTTGTATGTAAGACTGGCTTTATAAGTTAGTGACGTTACTGCATGCCATGCTAAAACAGAATAATTTTAATGGGCAGAGATGCACATGATTTCAACCTTTGTAATCCACTGTCAATATGGGCATCAAGCGATGAAATAGCTCTAGGCATCAGCTCTAACATCTGCATCAATGAAGCAGGGAAGGTAGAGACCAAATTCGAAACTTTGTAATTAATATCATGTATATATCTTTACTACATTATGGAGGAATCACATACCTGTCCTGTATTCTTGATAGTCGGGGTTTTGGCCAAAAGATTTTTGGGAAGCTTCATTAGTTGGGTCTGCAGATACAAAGTAGTCGAAGATATTATAAACATGCAAACAAATTTGAAAGATGTAATCATGCGGCATTGACACATCAAGAACCATATACATCTTTGCCCAATTGTAAACCCAAAGATTTCACTTATATTCTATCGGAGTATAAGCTTCAATAACTGTCATTTTTTAGGCAAGCATTTCAAGAGCTCTTAACCGAGTTTGCAACATTGTTGAAACCATATCAGGAAGACCTGTGTGTTAAAATATGGATAGGGTTTGTAGAAAGTCAGATCCTTCAAGGAGTCTGACAGATTATTGTAATTTATAGTTTTGCAGCCTCTGCATGAATAAATGGATGCTTGGATTCATTTGCAAAATACTCTAATAAATTATGATCACAAACAAGACCTAGACCCAAAAATCCGTCGAATTATTATTATATCAAAAAACCCATTTCGTAGATCATGTCCACATCACTGAAGCCCCATAAATACTAACAAAAATAACTAAAAAGTCAAGATCATGATAAAAAAAGAAGCTTTCTTTCTTATGAGAGAAATTCAGAAGAAGAAAGATGACAATTTTTTTCTAAAGAGAAAAACAATCAAATAATGATCAGCTTTTGTCTACAAATATTAACCCATCAAAGTTTTCATTCTCACAGTTTCAATCTAACCAAAACCCAACCCCAAAGATCAGTACTTTAAAGAGCCTAAAACAAGAACAAGACCCATTTCAACCTTGACCCACTTATCACATCCATCCTTAAGATTACAAGTTAAACTATGAAACAGAAAAGGTTGTTTTTTTCTCTTTGGGAAAAGAGAATTGATTGAGCTCTTAAAATTTACAATCATAAACAAGATAAAATAGTGCCTTTGATACCGTACCCTATAAGTATATAAAGTAGGTGAATATAAGAAGGAATACCTGAGAAGGAGAAGATTGTTGCATGAGATGGAGGAGATTGGAAGTGGATTGTACAGCCTGGGAAATCTGTTCAGTCACTATTGATTTTGCTGTGCCTTCTCTGCTACTTGTTCCCATTACATTTCCACCTACTCCACCTCCTCCTCTTGCTGTTGCCATTTTCTTCTACAAATCAGAATCCTTTGCTAATTTTCTCCATTAGAAGCCGAAAGATGAATTTTAGACTTACAATTACTGGTGCAGTAATTGAAAAGACAGCCCAATACAATTATGGGCCCAAAGGGTCCTTGGACTTTTCTTCTTTCAAGGAGCTCGGCCCATTTTTAGCCTAGCAACAAGAGATTGTTTTTGTACTTGTATGATCCATAAATTCTAGATATTAAGGGGCACCATTCAACCATTTTAACTAACTAAAAGGTCTTTCATGGAATAATTATTGGATATTTGTACGTTATATAGGTTACCTTTATTAATAGCTTTTTTAACGTAACGGCAACTTCCATAGGAAACTGCAACAAAAACAAGGTCCTTTACCTTACCTTAATTCATTACTTGAACCACCGTTACTTTAAGAGCGTTGCATAAATTCCCAACCCAAAAACGATTGTACCAACCTTTCCTTGTTCTAAGAAGCCAACCTGTCTCTTTATCTGTTTGGAATGGGTTCTTTTCAACATACCCTTGTACTCTTCCTAGCCTTGTCATTTGCTATAGCTATCACACCTGCTTTCTCAGTTGTTGGATGGGAAGAAAGATACATGCCAAACCCAAGGCTCTGTTGGCAAGAAATCAGTAAGGCAGATGGGTGCGAGCATGAAATTTATGCTTCCTTGGTTGAAAAGAAGATAAACCTCAGTCATAAATGCTGTGAAGCAATCCAGGGTCTGTCTAACAAGTGCAAGATTTGGATTTTTAACCGTGGAAGATTCACTCCCGAGTTTGGTAATCAAGTTAAAGGTTTTTGTGCTGCATTCGGAATCACACTTCCACCTAGTTATCGCGTTTACCATCCTATGGAGAAGAACCCTTCCGGTCAGCTTGTAGATTAAAGGATTGAAAAGTCGTTAAAAGTTGACAAATGTAACTGCCACTTTGATAAAATAAGAGGGGTTGCCATGTAGTAAGTATCAACTGCAAAAAATGGAGTATCAGTAAAATGGATTTCTTTATTAGTTTGCATTACTGTTCATTTATTTTCTTTTCTTTGAGGATAACAAAATCAATAGTTCTCATCACAGGGAATTTTTCCATCCTTTTGTTATTGTTTCTTTTTTAAGGCACATGGGGGTTTACTCTTATATTTAACAGAATGACATTTACAAACAGGTTCATCAGTAATTCACATCTTGATAGGGAATTCTCCAGGCAAATCTGTACAGCAAATTCACTTTTTCACTAGGTAAATAACATATAGACGACTTGAAACACGCTTTTCTACTCATCAGTTACCGGATACTTACCATAAATTGAATCAAAACTCGTTCCCTGATAGAATTTGGAAGAAATGGTTGGGGCTGTATGGGATTTATCCCCTATTACCGTAGCAAAAATGAGCTGGATGGGGCCTCCGTTAGCTCAACTTTTCCTTCACTCCATGGTCTTAATCAAAGACAAGGGAGCTTTCACCTTTGGTTTTCATTCATTGCTTTTTTCGTGAATCTCGTCACTAACATTTAAAGAGAATTCTATGATGGGGGTGTCAACCATATGAATTAGGAAGAAACCACTTAGTATCCAAATAAAATCAGCTTCTCCTAATTGAACATGGCTCCACTCTCTGACCAAGTGACCACATACTTAAGAATGTGCAACAACATACCGTTCTTTCTTCACTTTTTAACTTGGCTGGGACTATAATATGGCCAACGACAAAAGTGCATTTCATCACCAAATCACAGCATGTTAATAGCCCGATCAAAGCAGAAGAGTGTTGCTACCAATCTCTTTTAGAAACCAGATATATCTTAGCATCTAAAATGGATCCTGATGTTCTTTTGTTCAGGAAATATGTTATGATATGCCATTTAACTGAGAAAACAAAATGTTGGAAATAAGCTCATCGAGAACTTGAATTTGTTTCACCAAAAAAAAAAAAAAGAAAGTAGTTCAATTCATTGTTCATCACAAGGCATAGGCTTGAATGATAAGATACCGTATGTTCTAGTAGTATTGTTTTCAAACGATAATATTATCTATTTCTGTAGTGTCTAACATGAGAGTGATGATAAACGATAACAAATTCTTATTATTTACCAATTAGAAAATTACAAATAATATGATTAAACATCTATAAGGATCGATTAACTGAGGTAGCATATGTATATACACACATACACGCACGCCAGTGCACACTAACATACATATATCAAAGTGTCCTGAAGCATCATGAAATTACCATCACAGTTCACAGATGATATGCAAAGAGTTTCACAAGCAGATTAACACTCAAAAAATGAAACTCGTTACTCTACCATAATGGAAGAATTCATCCAATCAATTGCAGCAATCATCACCATTCACCGAGGATTTTTAAATGCTTTTGAACTGAAGTGTTAAACTACCCTGAATAACTAAAACGAGGCATGGTCTTAATTAAAGAGCATAAGCTCAATCCCTAAAAAGAGCAAAAGCTCACATTTTTCATACAGCAAAAGGCTCAATCACTACTCACTATCTACAACATTCAAAGGGACAGGCAACATAGAAAATATCAATTCAAACCTCGTTAACTGGATGCAGCTTTAACAGCTTTCTGCAATTCACTCTCTACATCACTCATCTTGTTTGCACTCTTCTTCACTTCTCTTCCACCATTGTCTTCAGCAACACTTTTCTTGCTCCTCCATCGGTCAAACTCGTTTGAATTCTCCACAAAAGGTGTGGAAACCCTCCTCCCAAGACCCTCACTTTCCCTAAGAACATTCCTGGCTGAAACCCCAAGTCTCATATCTTCAAGACACTGCTTCATTTCCCTATTCTTATTCTCCAACATTTCCAAATCTCTTTTCATCGACATATAAATACCTTTCACCAATTCCAAATCATCCTCATTATTTCCAATGCTCTTGTTCTTCATTTCCTTCAGTTCCTTGACCTCCTCAACCCTCTCAATCCCAATCTTGTTTACTGTCAAATAAGGCATTTTTGACCCTAAATCCGAAGGCAAATTCACAGCCCACCGTAAATTCACCACCGCCCGTTTTGTTACAGGAAACAATGTTCTTGCTCTAACAGCAATTCCACCAAAAATCCCAGCTTTCTTGTCATCTTTACTCACCAATGACCTCTCCATACCAAACCAATCATTTGAATATAAACTTTTTCCATAGCCAATCTTAGAGGTTTCAAGCCCATCATCACCTCCATTACAAGGTTCCAATTTCACTTCTTGCCAAGTATCTGGGGTTCCAAACTCAGAATGTGAAGGTGACGCAGATTGGAACTGGGTTCCGGAGATGGAGTGAGACCCAGAATCTGGTTCAAGGCTAGGGTTTGATGACGTGGCCTTGTGGAAAGAAAAGTTGCCAAATTGAGGCTTGAAATGAAGAGAGAAAGAGGGGATTACGGTTCCAGGGTTAGCGGATGAAAGAGAAAACTGTGCAGAGAAAATAAGAGGGGAGTCTTTTGGTGAGCCAAAGAGGCCAAGACCAGATTTTAGAGAAAGAGAGAAAGGGATCATGTTGGAAGGGGAAGGTGAGGGAGCATAAGAGAGTTTGAGAGAAGGGCCAGAAGGGAAATTCGTGGAGAGACAAAAGGAGGTATTTTGAGAGTATTTGTTGCTGCGGCTGTTGGTGGTGGCTGGGGTGGGGGTGGTAAGGCTAGAAACGAAAGGATGGCTAAATATGGAAATGGGTATTTTGGCTTTCAGGAGAGAGTTCTGGTCATCTTGGAGCTTGAGTGAAAGCTTCATTTCTTTTGAGTCTTTTTTCTTTGTGTTTGTCGGGTAAGGAAGACAAGAGGAGAAAGCAGAAATGTAGAGATTAATCCCACATCTAAGGCCGAAGTTTGTTTGATTTGGGAGTTTGGAAAGACAAGGGGGTAGGAGCCTCATGTTTGAAGGAACGAGTCGAGGGCTCAATTCATCATTGCAAGTGGCCAATGTTCCCGCAGAAAAGGTTAAACAGGAGCCTGTCAAGTGTCAAACTCTGAGTGTAGTTGGGCCCAAATTTTTTATCTATATTGGGCTCATTGTTTTATTGCAAAACCCCATACTTCTTCTACTTGAGTTCCCAGTTTCCACTAAAATTGTCCCTTTCTTGTCAGCAATTTCTGATTAGCATTTGGATTTGGGTTTATTATGAGCCCACTATGGTGTATTTCCAAAAGAGAATGAAAGACCCCATCCTTCACTTCTTTTTTTTATCAACCTCAAGTATTGTGTCCGATTCAGTGTGCTTTCCATGAAAGGGAATCGCCTGTGGGCTTTTCCGGATCTAAACTTTGATGGATGTTATGGCAGACCAGATCCCATCTTTTCCCAGAACTTTGTGCTTCAACTCTCAGAGTCTGGATCCATGTTCAAGCTTCTTCAAAAACATTATAACTTTCGTAAAGTCCCACAATGTCCAAAATTTTAGTGTTAGTTTTGAGTACATGTCCCATACACTTTATGGTGATTTTCCTACTTTTCTTATCCGGTCTCAATCTCTGAGAACCCTGGAGTTGACAAATTACAATGTAATTTAATCAAACCCTGGTTATCTACCGGCATTGACTAGTTGGTATCTAACCAATTGTTCATATGTTGGATGTTACAGATCTCTCTATCCTTTTGCAGGCTGTGTCAATTTGAAGACACTGCACCTACATAATTGTAAATTTTTTTACCAGACTGTTCTGAGAACATCTTGTCCTCAACTTGTGAGCTTGGTTATAAGTGGTTTGTTCGTATATCATTCAGATCCAGTCGAGAATACCTTTAAGCTTAAAATTTTAGCTCCAAAACTCGTATCATTTACTGTTAAATTAAACAGGCCTCTAGATTTCTCCATTCTACACGTTCCTGTCTTGGAAAATGTGGAGATTCAAGTTCATTCACCAAATAACTGCAAGCTTGTAAGCTTTCGGTGATTGATCAATATGTTCCGAGGGCTTCATCATGCACAATCTGTCAAGATTTGCTCTAAAATCGATGTATGCAATATTTATTTATTTTGTAGTAGACTCTTATCATAATTTACTTATTACTATTATTCTGATGAGATAAATATAAAATCTTATATAATTGATGCACATGGTGCAGAAAATTCTTAATGTTCAATTATTTCCTCATGCATAACTGGCTAACATCTGTATTTGTTTGCTATTTGCTAGATACTTACCCTGATTCCTGGTGCACTAGAAGAACAGTCTTCTCCGTTTAGAAGACCCAAGTCTTTGACAATGATGTGTGGAAGAAGCTTGTTTAACATTCCTGCCAATGTGATGGCCTACTTTCTTAGCAGTTCTAGTTCTGTGGAAAACATACAGATCGAATTTCAAAAGGTTTAACTTGCTTAATTATATATCTGTTTAGACTTTTGTAGCATATTTTATTTAGATAAATTGAAGGAAAAAAAAGGGTAAATTCAGATGTAGCAAAAGCATCCCATTGCGTTCTGGTTATAATCACAGATAAGTTCTCACTAATGTAACATGTTATGATAAACTTGATAAGTTTATGCTTGATTTTAACCCTCAGAATAGCTTTCCCCAGCTCCAATTCCACATGAGCTGGAACAGCTTCTTTCCTTATTTCTGTTGAATGTCTGAGCTACTTGAAGGTATCCTGATAGAAAGTAACCTTGGAAGTGGAACTCTGCCTCCCATGACTCTGCCTTTTAATGATAGGGCTTCGTATCAGGTCATTCTTTGTATAATGACTCTGCCTCTTTATTGTTATTCTGTCACAATGTACGAGTCATTTATGATTGAAACTCACCTTCGGATGCATCTTTTGTTGGCATAATTGCTTTTCATTTGGTTTATCGTATGAAACTTACCTGGTAATTTATTGGTGCTAATTGATGCCAAATAGGTTTGAAAAACTTTTAACACAAGTTATATCTAAAAGGAAAAGGGAACTTTCATTAATGTCCAAGAGAGTAATTCTCTTCTGCAGAGATCATACTGCAATTTACAAAGAGATACAACTACCCTATTAGAACAGCCTGGGAGCACATGTTATTTCCTACCTCTATGTGCTCTCTTCACAACATCTATTACAGAAAAACTAAGTAATAGGAATTTAACAGGGTTGAGAGGAAAAATGTTCTCTCTCAGAAAACCCAATTTTCTTTGGACATAAACTCTCAACAAAGTGCTGGGGACTACCCCTGTACCCGATTCCACATTATTGCTTTAATATATACTGTTATTTATACGTTTTAGCATGGATACACGTCACAGTTTAAAGCTATCTTGCTCATTAATATTTTCTGAAGTTTTTCCTGCCAGCTTGATATTCTTGTACCACCGGGCACATGCTATGTAGACAACCAAGTCAACTGTGGTTAGGCCTGCTAAGAGGAAGTAAAACCTATCTAGATGACCCCTGTTGAGATTGCCTGGTATCCATCCTGGCATGTGATCTTCAGTTGAGATCTTCATAAGCATGGTCACAAGCAAGCTACTAACATAGTTCCCTAGTGAGATTGATGTCATGCAAAGGGCACTGCCAAAGCTTTTCAATCCATCCGGCGTCTGTGCATTGAAGAACTCCAGCTGACCAACATACATAAAAACTTCAGATGCTCCTATAAATGCGTATTGGGGAACTTGCCAAAAGATGCTTAAGGAACTTGAGCCTTCACAACGCAGGCAGTCTTTGTTGGCATACTTCAGTCTGTAGCATTCCACAATTCCAGCAGAAATCATTGCCAGTATGGCTATAACAAGGCCAATGCCCATCCTCTGAAGTTCAGTAAGTCCCATGGAATCCTTTCTTCTTAGCCTGCTCACCAGTGGATCAAGAACTCGTCGGTACAGAAATATGAAAAGTGCCACACTTAGAATGTCGAAGCTGGACATGCTTGCTGGAGGAATCCGGAAATTTGAGATGGTAGTTTTCATTGCAGCACCTTGCTCAACGAAGAGAGAGGCCATTTGTGTGAAGACCACCGAGTAAATTATGGTGCACAGCCAAATTGGGAGTAGTCTTAGTATGCATTTAACTTCTTCCACTTGTGTAACAGGGCAGAGACGCCATGGGCTGTAAATTCCCCTCTTCTGGTCATCAACATCCCTTGTACTTATGTATGCTGCTCTGTCCAAGAACCTATACAAGATAAATTAATAATTAGCATTTTAGCTATATAATCTTGCAATTGGTTTAATTTCAAGTTTGGATTATGCTTCAATATTTACTTGAATTCATCGGTGTGGAGAATCTTTCTGTTGCCATTCATGGAGGAATCATTTCCATCCACGTCATACAAGTCATCTGCGTCTGGAGGCATATCAATGCTGCATTTCTTCATTGCAGCTACTAGGACTTGAGAGAACCTGGAGAGAGGGTTTCCGCTTGGTTTGAAGTGCCTGTACCTGGTGGTTCCTGCCAGAAACAAAACAAGTGCTGCAAAGGCAGAGCCAGCAGACACCCAGAATCCAAGTGCCCACATCCCTTCATCTTCAAAATACCCCAAAATGGTGTTGGAGAAAAGGGATCCCAGGTTCAAAGCTAGGTAGAAGTAGCTAAAAAAGGCCACCTTGGAGTGCCCTTCCTTAGGGTCTTCTTCATCAAACTGATCAGCCCCAAATGTAGCAATGTTAGGTTGATACCCTCCATTTCCTAGTGCAACTAGGTAGATGGAGAGGTAAAATAGCGTAATCTGCCAGCCTGAATGTGACCCGCATGGCATTTGTTGATTCCCGCAGCCTCTTGGTCTGATCAAGAAAAGGTGCGATGACAGCGATAGCGACACCAAACCCTGCCATATATTACACAATTAGAATGCAGATGTTTAAGGGATCCCATGTTTCATTTTTCAGGGGAGCCCTGGAATAGAACTAATGAAATTAAGGTTGATAGATAAATTACTTACAATAACAAAGATAACTTGAAAGATGGCACAGGTTTTATATCTTCCCCAGTAGGAATCACTGAGGAAAGCACCAACCAGGGAGAAAATGTAGACAGTTCCTGTCCATTTGCTAACATTGTTAGCAGCATCAGCATTACTTTGTCCCAACACTCTTGTCAGGAAAAGCACCAAGTTCACCCCGACCCCGAAGAACGCAAGGGTTGCCAGACCCTGATTCACTGGTTAATTCATTGGCAAAAAAAAAAAAAAGAACATTAATGAGACGTGTAAGAAAAAAAAGACTTGATATTTTGAAGTTACTAAGATGAAGATTTTTTATGGTACACGTGATAGAGTGAGAAGCTTTGCATCAAGATCAGGGGAAGTTTCCCTCAGAGATACCTAGTTAGTTAGGTTAAGGAATGAAAGAAACCTAAAACTAAAACGATTTGAATCTTCAAAAGGTTGCTTTCAAAAACTCTTCTAGCATTCAATTGTAGTCAGATCTCATGCCTAAAACATTTCAGTCAGAAATCAAACAGCAACTCATTATGATGGGTGGCCTCTCGTTTTCTTTGCATGTGCAAATGAACTCATTTCAATCATGTTCTTAAAAAAATCTGGATTGAATCAGCTTCTTTCATGTGAATTTTCAATAATATTCATGCGCATTGATATACATCACAAATTTAGTAACTTGAAAACAAAAACCTATAGCGACTCGAAACATGTCCATGTTCATTGTAAATAGATGTGGTTAAGTCTCTTTCTTAATTGTTTCTTCTTCCACTATTATTTATTTCCAGTGATTTGTCAAGTCATTAACCTATTATTATTAATTAATTAGTGGCAAACATTCGAAGCACGTTAAGAAAAAGGGCATCCCTTTTGCTTACAGTGCTACTAATAATTCTTTTTTTATTATTTTCATGTTTCGTCTTTTGCATGAATAAAATCTAATATTTAATTAGTTGCATGAATCAGTTCTAATATTTTAGTGTAGTGCTTTGTGTAGTGTTTAATAAAAATTTATTTGCATGAATAAGTTATTATATCTAATCAGTCACCTTTTAACACATGCATTAAGGTTGTCGAAATTAAAACTAGAAGAATTCAATTTCATTTCTCAATTCTCTTTTGTCTATCTAGACTTGACTCAGCACAGTCCTGTGGACTTTTGAAGGAATGGGATGGAATAGACTATGGAGGCCAGCTGGGGATCTTTGTTTGTTATTGTGGGGACACGTGGCAGGAACCCAAGTCATTCAAAATTACCAGGAGGTGAGTCGTGTCAGGCACGTTTTTCCTTAATTGCATGCTCCCTCTCAATTTCAGTCTTCCTATTCCTTTGCATGTCGTTTATTTGAGCACTGGCAAACTGCCAAAAATCCAAACCAAAGCCTCCTAAATCCAAAGTAAACATGCAACAGAGCTTCAACACTTGGGTTTGGTTTCCAGTTCCAGATCTTGCACGACTCTTCATTTATATTGTCCTTTTCATCCTTTTCTGGAAGCTGAAATGAAAACCAAACTTCTTCCTTTTGATAGCCTGACCTAACGAAGCTCTGTACAGATAATTTTATAAATCACCTCCCTTATATAATTCGATGTTTCGCAACTCCAAAAATATCTATCTCCTACCTATAGTATATATTATATAAATGTATTTGCAAATGTTTTAATACATCTATCCAATTCAAATGAGATCAGAAGTAGTGTAAGATATTTGGAAAGTGACAAACACTGTCTTATTGTTAGAATTAGTGTTAAGAAAAATGAAAGAAAGAAAGAAAATGGTGTGGGAAAATTGCATAAAGTCTAATAAATAATATTATCATTGGTTATCTGATTTGTTTAGTGGTGAAATTTGGAGCTTACAAAGAATGATAATTCCAGCAGTCCATTGTCCAGATTTTCCTTTGATTGCAGGGCGACCATGCCAATCAATAGTTCCATCTTGGGTGCATGCGGCTTCTTGCTGCTCTTTCAACTTCCCCTGTTTTTTTTTAAACAAAAAAAAAGTAGAGTACGTTAATCATTATCCATTATCATAAAATATATTAAAAAATCATAGAGAAAAGAGAACAAAAATGATTAATTGTAATATATAATCATTGCATGAATGCAGCCATCATGTCTTTGCATCTGCTAAAAACTAAATGTTTCTTTATTTATTACTAATATTTTACTTAGCAAAATATGAAGAACATAGAAAATTGAAAAAGAAAGGGAAAAGGAGAAGAAAAGAAAAGAAAAACTTGATTTTTTAGAAGGCAATGAAACAATGATAATAGAGAAAAACATATTGGATGAGGAAATAGTTCAATCATTTTTGTAGAAAAGAGAAGAAAATATGAGCCCTTTAGCCCCCTACTGACCTCCTTAAACACCTCTAAACAAGCCATTTATGTTTCTTGACAAAGAGAGAAATTTTGTGGTGTAATTTAGAAGATGAGAGCAGGGGAAAGGTTGTGAAGAAGAAGGAAGATTGAGTAGGCAGAGTTTGGGAGAAGAACAAGGAGAGGAAGGGAATATATAGAGGGTGGTAAGGCAATTTGGACGGTGGAGATGGTATGGAAAGAGAGGGGATACCCACATGGCCACATCATCAAGAGAAAATAATATAAGATGCAACCTGTGTTGGACCGAGACAGTGAAGTGAAGGTGAATATGGGGTGAGAAGGGGGGGATGTTTTAACATATAATTTCTTTCCAATAGCTTGGATTGATTAATAATATGGGGTTCTTTGGGGTCCCTCTCCTATACCCTTGATATGTCTCTTATTGGGTTTGATTTGATATTGACACATTGGAGAAAGTTAGCGTCAATCATTTTCCAAGAACTTGGAACACAAATAAAGACTCTTTGGATTGCTTGACAGACTAGTCCCAACTTAATGCACAATTTTTCAAGACCAAAAAAATAAAAAATTCAGTTTCTCTCTTCATGTTCAAAGCATATCTTCTCTTACAAATAAGTATATATGCTTGAAATTCATTCCTCAAATTGTAATTTGATTATCATCATATATCTCAATATTAATATAGGGTTTTGATCATTATCATATATATGTTAATCTTAAAGAAAAGCTTTTGGGTAACAATGAATAAATCCCATGAAGATATATGTGTTAACGGTGAAATTTTCAAGTGTTTTACCAGTGAAAACATGACAAGGTTTTTTGAAGGATCAACTTGGGCTTTAGCCTCACACTTTGGAATAAGAAGTTGGTTCTACACATGTACCAATATTTTATGTATTTTCTAGAAGAATCAATGAATAAATTATTAATCACATTTTTTTTATGTGCATCAAACACCATTGATATTTTTAATCTTTTCCCCTCAATTATTATGAAGGGATATGATTCCAAAAACGTCCCAGCAAAGCTGCAATGACAACACAAGATCAAGAGCTATAGTTTCTCTCCTTATTAGTGGAAAGGGCATTCAAAATTTGATACTTGATTTCTTAAAGTGAAGTAATTGAATTATTTGCTAATAATACAACTTCTTATATGACTTTCAGATCAACCTCAAGCATCTGCTGCTTTCAGACATTCTCTGACATCCTTAATATATGCTGCTTAACTAATCCTTGTTTCTTTTCTTTTCCAATGCATATTTATCTGGAAATAATATTCCATGAGGACACGGATACTGAATAAAGGAATTTAGAAATCTTAGCCATCAGATTTTGTGGCCATCTTTATTTTGTTATAAGAAAATAAAATGAAAGGATTATACATTGAACAACAAGGATATGTAAGATTGCATACTTGACCTTAATTGATTATGTTGCTAGTCTTACGGATTTGATTCTACATATTGAAATTTGTGGCCATTGTCACCTACATGCACTCTACTTGATCTGTAATACTAAGAACAACACAAGGACATGGATTATGTTAAGATTCTTCCCTTGGGCACACTAATAAATATAAAACACAAAATATTCCGAGCTTCATCTAAGGTTTTTTCAGCTTTATTAATCCGAAAGACGACGCATTAATCTAGCTTATAAGAATATTTTTTTCAAAAAAAATTCAACCTTGTGGGTCAAATTCTTGTAAAAAGATATACTATGTCGATCATGCATCAGAATATATTAGCAGAATTAGAACAAAAATTGTCAGAATTGGAGCCTTAAATACCTCAATAATTAGGAGAGAATAATGAGACCTCACAACCAACTATACATAATTTTTACTCAGAATAAGGATCTCTCAATAGTAGCAAGAGGCTATAGGCCTTATTTTTGTTCATATTCCCTTTCTTTCTTTGGAAGAATTTTGATATGTGAATGATGATGTCTTAAACAAAACTTGCCAAAAGCTTAAGTTCTTGATTAATTGATTTTTTACTATATATATATATATATATAGGCTAAATATGTATGTTAATGTGTCTTGTCAAAAATTCATTAGGGTCAGGGAGACATAAGGTAAAAAGGGGACTAAATAGTAAAGTTGATGAAAAAAAAAAAAAGGCAATTGATGTTAGATGGGCTGAGAATTATTATATTACGATGGTGTAAAAAACTATTTGGGGCCGCCTCTCATTAGGGTTTTGAATTTTCCACTAATTAAATTAATTACAGCTTTAGCATAATGTCAATTATGCTTAGTACATATAATCTGATTTTTATGCTGGCCAGAGAAGATATTTTCGAAGAAAAATGGTTTTTTCTTTTAATTTTTAAAAAAGACAAAAAGTGAAAAAAATATTTGCTATTTTCTTAGTTGTGAAAGTCTTTTGTTGTCCAAACTGCAAATATACATGCATATTTGCCTAGCTTGCTCACTTCCTTTCTTCTGTTCCTTTAGTAAAATGTAATATATGGAGTTAACCAAAAACAGCTTTTACCAAAATATTTGAGGGAAAAAAAATCTTGGGAAAATTGCAAAATCTAGTTTCTAATGCTTCGTTTAGAGAATTCGGTTATAAATTACGCGATGATATAATAAAAATTATTCTCATCATCTGTTCAAATCAAACCTAAGCATTTAGCATGGAAGATGATTTTTGAAAAGAAAAAATATTCCCTAAATCTTTCAAATTATAGTACTATACAATGCTTTAAAACTCTGGTTTTTCTTTTTTATGTAGGTAAGATATAGGCAGTTGTTAATTGTAGCTAAGATTAACAGTTTCCTTATATCAGATTTAAACAAAGAACAGTAATGCAAGGGAACTTACTAAATCATACAACATTAATTGATTTCTTGGTCAATTAAGGTATACCAAGTTTCATTTTCAGATTTAAACAAAGAAGAGTAATGCAAGGCAACTTACTAAATCATACAACATTAATTGATTTCTTGGTCAATTAATGTTTATCAAGTTTCACACACAACTTCTTCTGTCATAAAGCTATAGCTAATGACTGCGCCAATCGAACATGGACAGTAATGATACAGCTATAATGATTTTGATTTTCATTTCCACCATGTTTTCCCGATTCTATAAAACTCCAATATATATATTCTCCTAATCTTTTCCCTAATCACTTAATTTTTCTTCATAAAAAGAGCTTATTTTCATGGAAAACAACTGTAGGCTGTGACCTAATGTATCCCTTCCTTCCACGTAAAAATGCAAAAGGAAGAGAGAAGAAAACAAACCTTTTTTTTTATATGAGAGATCACAATTTGAGAATAAAAAAAATTATAAGTATTATGATTCGAATTGAATTGATTTATTGAATGTTATTTTTTAACAATGTTCAAGCTGAATAAGAAACAAACATTTTGAATGACTATCATTTTCTTCAAATGTGTGGGGCTCCATTAGCAGACTCCATGCAAGTAAATGACAAAAATCTGTCACAATCCGAAGTAGGGTCGTTGAATTATTTATTTCTCTCACCGTTCTAAACATTTTTCTTTTTTTGATTCATAAAGTTCCAGCACAAAGCCACCAAGAAGGCAAGAAAAGGCAAATTTGTAAATGTAGGTGTAGCTTTTTTCTATACCGAAAATCATCGATACCCCGCCAGCAGAGTTCATTTACACCTGTTATTACACAAAGGGCTAAATCTGATGCTGAAATGCAATTGGTTGTTTTCTGTCCTATAGCACTGACTTATCAATGACGAAACCCTAAATCCTAGCTACTTTGATTTTCTTACATGTACACACGTTTTTCTAGTTAAAAAGGCTGTTCGAGTTTTTTTACATGCAGAGGGTGACTTATCATCTACAGCCATGGTCAGCTCACCAGCTTTATATAAATATATATAATTAATAACAATTAATTAAAAACTTCAAGTCAGATTAAGTCTGCTCCCAAGAGTCAGATTCCACTTAATCACTTATTTTTTATTTTCTAAAAACATCAACGTCATTACCGAATTAATAGGAATATCCAGTCATTTTAGAGATTTAATGATGCATCATCAGCTGGTATTGAGAAAGACAGTCTCCTGATTTAATCCTTGTTTATCAGCATATTTCTAAAGTATCATTGGCTGTGTGGTTTCCCCAGCCAATTAAGGAACCCATTTTTCTTGTAATTAACTCTCATTTGATTCTTTTTTTTCCTTTGTTTGGTCCATCTGGGTCACCTGCTTTCACCATACGCAAACGTCAATCTCTTAAGATTATTAGAGTTTCCAATCTTAAAATTCGCTTATCAACCCGTCAACAATTTTTCTATATGAAATGTTCATTTTTTCCATCTTCTTTGTTCTCTCATTTTATGATGGGATTATATCAAAATATTTGATAGAAATCGTGAAGCTCTGATATCATTTTGTTGAAAAAATTAATTTAACGATGATATCACTTTTGCGGTACAATCGCATTTTCAAAATAACAATAGGAAAATATGACAAGACATATAAATTCATCAGGAAATAAGTTCATATCGTTCGACATTAAATCCAAATCCCTGGTCAAAAACGACAAGAAATTTTACTATAACAAAAAGTATGAACATAACAAAAGCATTTAAATGTCAAAACACTCACCTAAATGTCTTATCAACACTTTATATTGATAAACCCTTTAACCCAAAACTCTCTTAAAAAACTTAAGAACTTAAATAATACACTTACAGCACCTCTTTTAGTGCCTCTATTGGCACATAAATTTTCACTAAGCATAAACGAGGCATCTATGGTACGCTGCACACATGGCCCTGCAGGCCCTTATCGTTACTTCCTTAAGGTACTTAGGGCACCTCACCACTAAAGCTCATGTCTCTATTCATAGTTGATTAGAGGATGGCCAATGAACAAGCAAAAAACTTCAAAATAGAGTGGCAGCCGCAATTCAAAGCTAATTAAGGAAGCTCACCGTTTTGGTCAACAATGGTGGCTGAAGAGACGCAATCGACTTGAACTCTTCCATGTTATTCAAAACTTTACAACATTCTGGTCGTGGGCTATAATGTTTGCACTCGAATTTTGTCAAGTCACAAATATCATAATGCATGAGAATATAAACTTTAGTCAATTCGAATTCTCCAATAGATTATGGTAATATTGATTTCATCGTTTGATGAATTAGGCCATATGAACTATATATCATGATGGAATTAGAAAGAAAATCTAGTTAATTATTGAGATTAAGACCATCCTAGCTCAGGTTAATCATGGTTTTCCATGGCTGCTACTTGTTAGAAACACAAGGACCTAAGTTAACCAACTCTGTCATATTTCTACTCAATTAGCGCCACAAGGTCATTAAGATTGTCTCTCCCCTTGAATTGATTTATATTATTAAAATCTTTTGCTAAAACTTTGGTTGGCTGCTGTGCTGAAACTGAAACAGTTGGATATATACTTGAGATGAGATGACTAGATAATGGATTTTGAGCGCTAAACTTGCACGCATGCTATATCCTTCCATCAGCAAAATCTATATTTGGATACAGCTTGAACCATAAAGGGAAACACAATCAGAGCT